TTTTGTTTTGCAATAATTTAGATAAAAATGCATAACCTATTTTTATTTTTTCTTTAGCATTTAATCATGTAATTAATACTCCCTTATTAGTCTACCTATTTTAGCATAACTTAGTACTTTTAGATTATGCTTATTTTTATTATGGCTTTTTAATTAGCAATATTCATATTACATAATTTTATTGTCTTTATTGTAGAATATTTTAGGATAATGTCATGACACATCTCATATTTCGTATTATTTTCTTAGAAAATACTTTATATAGTTGTATCTTATTAGGATTAAAGAAATATTTTGAGCATAATTTATATATTTTGTTCTACGAAGATTTTACTGGAAAAAAAACCCGAAAACCCGAGAAAATCCGAGAGTGAAAAACCCGAGTTTTATTGGTTTGGTTTGGTCTTTAGATTTAATAACCCGATACAATTGGTTTGATTTGGTAATTGTAAAATCTGAACCAACCCGACCTATGTACACCCCTAGACACTACCATTTCCAAAACCCACTGCATGAGATTATATTATATTTGTTGTTGTTATTATTGCTAAAGTTATGAACTTGTGAAAAAAGGATTAAACATTACCTCATTTTTGTGGTGCAGTTTTTATAGTTTTTGTTATTTTTGTATATCAATAATCTGGTGTAGCTTTTTGAAGTGTAGTTTCCACTGCCCCTCTGTTTGGCACAAAATTTAAGGAAAAATATTTTTAAAAGTTGTGATCTTAAAGACATAAAGAATAAAGGTGTTATTGGATCATATCAATTATGTGTTTACAAAAGTTTCTCATTAAAGGTAAAATAAGTAAAATAAAAAATTTAAAATTAAATAATTTTAAAATATAAAAATTTATCATTCTTTTTTAAACGAACTAACAAGAAAAGTGCATTATATAATTAAAAATGGAGGGAGTACTTTTATGTCTTTTTGGTGTGTAGTGTCATTTTTTGCGGTGCAATTTTATAAAATTTGATGGGACTTTCTTGGTATTTCTAGTTAAATCCTTTTAATACATGTTTCATTAAATCTAACAGCTAGAGTTTGCTAAATATTTGATTGAGACTAAATGTGCTCAGTTTTGCAAATTTAGAGGGCCAAAATTGCTCCGAAATATATTTTGAAATATCATTTTAAAGTTTAAACCCACCCCAAACACAAGGGATTGTTCTTGATATTTTCTCTGCCGATTTCACTAATTTTCTTTTGTCAAGTTTGACTTTTAACAATTTGTTTTTGCCGATTCAACTCAAATTTTTCAAGACGTATGCCAAAATATCACAAATCAAAGTAATTTCTTTTAGACTAGAGTTGTGTTATGAATTCATGAGTTGCTTTTTTTAATAAAATGTGTTATGTGATTTTTCGTTTTTTGTTGTTGAAAGTTGATACTCGCTTTTTCGTTTTTTGTTGTTGAAAGTTGAAACTCCATGTATCCACCTACGTAAGCAAAGCATCATGACCTCCAAACTTAGATCGAGAAGATATAGATTTACAATAAAAGTAAAAAAAATAACGGAATTACAATCATTTTTTAAAATATTAAATTACGTGAACAAGACGAAATGAATACAATGATTCATATTAGCCAATCTCAATCAATATGATATTAAGGCGCAATTGGTAGGATTTAACCTTGCATCTAAGTGATACGATGTACAGATATGATCATTAGTTACAACTCCAATTCCACCTATTACTAGTTAATACGAGGTGTTACTGCTTCATATTATTTTATGTTTGACACAAATCTCTTTTCAACCAACTTATTTGATTTCGTTTTTCATTATTTTGAACATATATTTCTCTATCGAACTTTCTTTAATTTAATATTTCTTTGTCTCAAAACTGAATCTTTAAGTTGAGGCTTATGTAACAAGACCAGTGAATGAGCTAAAGCTCCATATAGCTGAGATTGGAAATGGGTCAAAATTACACATATGTTATTTAGAAGTCGCATTCACCAATTGCTTTATATAATCGCACTTACTTATTGCGTTTTATAGGTCGCATTTGAACCAAGACAAACAAAATCAGAACATGGAAGGGAAACTCCATTGGTCTCACCAAATTCTTGGCTCTATAATGCAGATAGGAGATGGAGAGTTTCCAACAATCACCAAAATCTTCATTTTGGTGAAAGGCCAGACTTAAAGAGTAAGTTCTTTGCAAATATGCCATCTTAATTTTCTGTTGAGCTTCCAAAATGACAAAGATACATATAGATATAACAGTGTATTGATTAGAGGCAGAGTTCTATGCATTGAATTGAACCTATTGCTTTCAACTCAGAACTAAGGTGGCAAATGAGGAGGTTAGATCAAACTTGTACGGGCCAAAAATTAAATCAATAGATCATGAACTAGCCAGGACTAAAGTTTGTTTGAATCAAAATGGGTCAAATAGCTGGTCATAAAACACCTGCCTAACATTCAAACGCTCATTTTTTTTTTTATATTTTGCTTTTTGGAAGAAAAGAAAAGAATGTTAAAGCTTGTGTATTTTTCTGAAATTATTAGCTTAACTTCTTTCAACTTTATATAATTCCTAATCTCCAAATGTTATTTTGTATGGTTGTGTCACATTTTGACCCGTTAAGATACACTATTTTGACCCGTTGTTCGATGGTTCATTTCGGGTGCAATCTGTTGAGTCAAGTTAACAAACATATCATAACTCGACCTGTTTATATTTGGGCGGGATAGACGGGTTACTTTGATTTTGTCACCTCTATCTCTAGACTGACATAAATGATTTAACGTTCTAATTTGGTTGCAGGAATCCTGTGTGAGAGGAAAGAATCAAGTGTTGGAGTTCTTGTGTGTGGACCAAAGAAGATGAGGCATGAAGTTGCAAACATATGTTCATCAGGTTTTGCAGCCAACCTACAATTTGAGTACATTAACTTCAGCTGGTGATTTCAAGACTCTATTATAGTAACACATAATGCTTTCTCTTTGTGAAGCTATGGTTGGTTGAGCTTTCAAATTGTCACTGTAAATAATGAGGAAAAACATGCTTCCTTCTTTTGAAATATAAATACTACAGCTCCTTCTACCTCTATAGTTTGCTTAAAAAATATAAGAGTTTTAGCTTTATGACTAGATTATAGACATTGGCACCCATGTTACTGAAATACTAAGAGATTGGTAGACTTTCTTAGACATTACATAACAGGAAATAAAGTTGAACAAATTGTATTTGCAGCTAAAAAAGCAAATATAATGGCAAAAGTATAAAGAGATTTCAGGGATATAGAAACTTTTCCATTGACACAACGCAGCAACAAGTGGGTGCTACTGATAATTGTTATAAAAGTGTAGCCCCTTTTACTACACAGGGTGCTAAAAAAAAGTCCAAATCATTAGCATTTACATATTTCAGGTTTTTCTCCATCCAACTAGCCTATATACTTGCTGCAGCGACTGTTTTGCAATGTGTCCACATCATTATGCCTCTAGCTTGTTAAGACTTTGCCGACAGTTCTAAAAATGATCCTATGTAAGACTAAAGAGTGAGATAAATACATACGCGGGCTGTCTGACAGAATCTGCACAATGCAGAAATAAACGATTAGTATCAACAGTAACATTCCTATACATATACATCTGCTGAAGATCTTTCCGAAAGTTGTTTCTGCATCAGACGAGCTTATGAATTTGCTATCCATCCAAAGCAGGACCCTTTGAGAGATGTCTTACTCTTCCAAAGTATATGCACATAGCCACTGAATCCTATTTCTGTCTGAGCCAGATAAAGTATTGTAATACTATGAAATTCCCTTTTCATATGATAAGAGTGAGTTCGACAATTTTGATAGGATTCCCTACTCATTACCTTCTTAGGTAGCTGACTTAAGTAACTTACTCTATCAATCTCCGGTGATCCCTTCAAAATATGATGCCTCAGCAGTGTCCGTTGCTCCTTCATCGCCTATTGTGGCTTAGGATCTACTGCTTCCTCAAACACTGCCTCTGGGGAACTATGTCCAATCCAATAATATAAATGGAAATTTTATTCTTCTGCAATTCTACACATTAAAACTAACAGAAGCATAGAATGAGCAACAAAGCAATACAAGTTCTTTAGAAGAATTTAGTGTTTATGGCTAAGATTCATTATAAAATCTTTGAATTTCACAACGTTTGTCATGCTTTATGAAACCTAATGGGCATAACTGCAATAAATACAGAAATCAGGAGGATTTTTAAGTTCCACAAATCAAGAGCCAACTAAAATAAGATGAGTTAGCCAAAAGCCACACCAACTTAGATTAACTAAGAAGTTGCAATGCATCATCTAGGCCCTTTATTGCGCTATTGACCTTTGCTTTCAAGCCAAAAGAACAGTTAATGTCGCTTGTAATGTCGTTTGCACATGGTTACATGTCATACGATGCTCAGTAACTAGTTCTACTGCAAACCATGTCATTGCCATGTTATAAAAGCAAAGGCTCAAGAAAACTCCTGTTGTTTCAAGCCAAAATCTCCAATTATCTCTTAGGGGTCGTTTGGTACGCGAGATAAGGTGGGATACCAGAGAATGCCATTGCATCTGACCATACTATTGCACTGTTCTTGGCAGAGTAACCACTCAAAAGGTCAGCATGTCAATATAAAATCCACAGTTCTATCAACATTACAGTTCTATCAACATAGAGAAATAGTGTAACTATAACAACCAAATTCCACATGACCTCTTTTTTACCTGTTACAAAAGTATTTTTAAAAATTTGTGATGGTGTTCGAGCCAACTTGCACACACTCCCATCAACGAGGATGCCAAGTAATTTTGTCCACCTAGATTTAGGCAGAAAGGAAGAAATCACTTTGCGTATTTTTGCCTCAATCTCCCATGCAGTACTTCAAGCTCTTAAGATATCCTATCTGTTAAAATTGGTTACTATGGCCATTGAAAAGGTCATATGCACAACAAATCTAGTAGTTTAGTTGTTCCTCACATGGAATACTTTATTTTTCAAAGTACAAGAAATGTCTAGCACAATTTACCATTACACCCTTATCTAAGGATTGAATGAACAAAAAGCTGCTCAAACCTAAACCTCCGTTCCCCAGTCAAGAACCGTCCATCATAGTGAACCTCTCCCCCGATGAGGTGGATGTCTCTTACTCAAGGGGATCAAATTAAAGGTCACTAGGTAACCACTGATCTATAGTTATCCATAAACTCCCATGCTTAGTGGAGAAGAAGCAAACAAAAGTATCCTTGCTTGCTATCCAATACTTTGTCACGAACTATGGTTGCTAGTTTATTTCATGTATTACTTGCACTAGTCAATATCTAACCAGCTAAGTTGAATGGAGAAAGATTTTATGAGGACATATTCCCCTATCCAAAGACAAGGGATGAAAGACCTCCCAATCTACTTCATGTAACCACGGAGAAAGAAGTTGACAACTAAGGAACCGTCGTGTTTGTTTTTCTTCAAAGGCACAATCTGCTCCTACTCATCTTTATTACCTTCCGTCAACTATTAAGATGTTTTAGTTTCCTAACTTTTAAAAGTGCAAAGAGCACAAACTACGCTTCAGAGCTGGAGCCTTATACGAGCTAATGAGACCTCACGCCAAAGCCATCAAATTATCTTTCTGATAGATGCCTCTATTTGTATGGAGAATTGGCTGCTAATAGATCTCACGCCGTGTCCTCCTCGTTTTCCCACCGCCTTCCGACTTGCGGGAGTATACAATGACAATGTCATGACGTGAGTGCCAGATTGTGAGACTAGCTGTTGACGTCAGATTGAAGATTCCTGGATTATCAGTGGTCTCCTCCACGGCCTATTGCATCTAAATACATCCTTCCTTCTCAATGCCAAAGCATCCAATGAGGAAAAAGCACAGAGATAAGTATGACAGGAGCAGTAATCTAGTAGTTGACTCCAGCGAAGATGATGACACATTAGCAAATATTATTTCCCTACCAAGATTGAATCAAACTATTACCAAGTAAACATAGATGATTCCAAACACTTTCGAGCCATAAAGGCAGCAAAAAAGGTCTTATCTTATAAGAGGAAATCCATACGCAAAATTAACATTTTGATTCTAGCCCCTTAGTAGAAACAAAAGTTGTCCCACAATGACGTGTTTCACCAATTCCTGACTGATGGCAGCACGTAGAGCAAAATTCATCTCAAGATTTTCCATATTTCTCCACATACCCCTGCAATCACAAATTAATCAATTGTCAAGTTCAGGGAAGAAAGACTCAGCCACAGTCAGCGAGTACTGTTCCAAAGTGTTGACTCACCTCAATGAGCTTAGCTACTTTTGGCTTAGAAACAGAGAGATACTGCTTAATGGATTCAGTCGTATCAGGAATTTGATCAGGTTGCAAAGAGTTAATGACCTTATCTACTGATTTCTTAACAATCATCTTATATGCATCCCTAATCAAGAGACCTTCATGCCAAGTTGGCTTCAGCAATTCTTTGACGAATTCCACAAGAGCAGCACGAAAATGCTTCAAAACTCCTGATTCATAGTTCACAGATCCATCTCTCCTAAAGTCATTATCAATTTCATAGTTGTGTCTGGGCCCCTCTAATTTTGATTGTGTCCTTTTTTGGCCTCTGGGGTTAACTGATCTTGGGTGCTTTTCTTCTTTTGAAGAGGTATTCACGTTTTCTTGATGAGCTGTAGCTCTATCAGCTGTTTCTCTTTCATCAGCAGTCAAATCTTTCTCTGCTGCGCTGGTTTGCTCAATGCTATCACGAATCGGATCATACAGACTTTCTGGAGTGGGAATAATTTGACTAAGAAAGGTTGATGGTTGAAAAGGCACAGAAGGCTTCCAGTCATCAAAATACACCTTGGTCTTATAATCACGTGAGTGTTCCATGTCCCTTGATAAATCAGTCCAAGAGAAAGGTTCAGTTACAGAACCAGGAAGTGCTGAAGACTTGTTTGAGATTGACCTAGAGGAACAATATTCTCGACTATGGTCTAAAAGCTTCTGATCACCAACCGGACCTAGGTTTGAAGAAGAAGTAAGATAAGAAGGCCACCTATCCACAGAGTGATTCAGGTGTGGATAATGATGATTTCCGAGCATAAGCTGGGTCCTCTTATAACTCGTGTCGTCCAAAACTGAGCTATAAGACAGAACTTCAGCGTTCTGATACTTGTAAGATGACAGTACTGAGCTACTTAGAAGCAGTCCACTATGACAGCTATCTTTATTAAGAGAATCATTTTTGAGTAATAGTGATGAAGAGCTTCCATAACCAGCCAAGTAGGATTTACATCCAAGAGTCTCCCTTCCGATGTCTCTAAACAGCATGTTTGACCGATGCTCATCACTATGCATATGCAATTCAATGTCACTATTCAACCTTTGATTTTCTCCACATCGAACAGCAGATGTTGCCAAATCAGAAATACAATCTGCTGCTAGTCTTTCAGTGGTATTTTTTGAACCTATAAGGCAGAAGTTACTTTGTCAGGATTAGTAATGCAAGGCTGTGCAATACTTAAGGTTAACCCATTCCTATAAAACTAGTTTGATATTACCTTCTCCATCTATGAGTTTGCTTTTCATCTTTGCAGCATCTAAAACACCGTCCTTATCATCACTAGTTAGAGGATCCCTTCCTTTGACGCACCAACTTCTAGAGTAAAACTCACTTCTATCTGCTGATCTTTTGTTTCCACCACTAGAATCATCAGCTGGGGACAAACTTCTTAGCCTAATCTTTGGAAGATCCAACCTGGAAAATCCAGAATATCAAGACTTGGTTCTACTTGAAATATAGCCAAAACAAACTTCCAACAAGGAGATATTCAAAAGCAGCATAAGACCCAACTTCCTAGTACGACTAAAGAATTGAACCAGGGCCAGTATAATAAACCTTGATGACGTTGGTCGTAAATCCTCCGACGCTTCTTGATGACCTCCTCCTTCAGAGAATTGGGCACCAATAACTTCCTTGCTAGAAGCATCACTATTTACTATATCAGCACTTACTTTATGCTCAAAAGGCTGGATTTCATGGGTTATCCTTTTCCCACTGTATCTAAGAGCTTGAGGATCAGAAAGCACGACCGTTCTTTTTCCTGCAAGAGCCCCAACAGGATCCCCGTGAATCTCTATGACTCTTGTTACAGGATATTAGAATGTTCAATTTTTTTAATTTATAAGTAATATTGGAATGTTTCCCATTTTAATTTAACAAGAGTTCTCACCATCCAAGCTTGAATCATTCTTTTCTCTTCTTTCATCTGAATTAGATATTCTGCAACTGCCACTACCCTCTTCAAGCATAGTGGTACCAGGATTTGCTACAGATTGTTTTGGAGTAGAAATTCCTGGTCTTAAGTGCTCTTCAAGACCCACAGGCTCCAGAATGTGGGTTCCATCTACAAGGAAGAAAGATCAGAGTAAGTCACATATCAATGGAACAACTTTTTGGTGGATACCCTAACACTTATCCACCCAAAAACTCTGCCTACGCATGTAAACCATTGTCTGTCTTGTCAGATCTACCAAGCACACGAAACCTTACAACAACAACTAGGCCTCAATCCCAAACAAGTTGGAATCGGCTACATGCATCCTCACTAACCATATCTCTCCATTAAAGCTCAACCCATGTCATCAACATACCAAATAAAAATAAGAGTAAAAAATAAGTTAAATATATATAAATAATAGTTTAAATAATAAATTTCTAAAAAGGTCAAAATACTGCTAGAGAAAACCAATAGGTTCAAAATCAACGTACTAACAAGACTAAACATATTCTCAACTAGTAGATATTACATATATGGATCTTTTTCTTCCATTATGCCTTATCTTTTAACTACTCTGTATTGATTCCAAGAAATTATAGGTATTTCAGGACAACTTCCTTACATGTGATTTTAGGTCTACCTTGTTCTTTTTTAACATCTTCACTCGCCATAGCTTCACACCTACGGACCGATGCAATTATTGTTAGGCCGATGCAGGCCGATGCAGGACATGACCAAACTACCTAGCAGCCTTCTCTCATTTTATCTTCAATCCGTGTTACTTTCACTTTCTGGCGAATGTGGTCACTTTATCTTATCTAATTTTGTATGACCACATATCCATTTTAGCATCCGCATCTCTATAACATTCATCTCGTGAAACATGTTAGATTTAGTGGCCCAACATTCACTACCATATTGCTGGTCCTATAATTTTTTTGTACAACTTGCCTTTTACTTTGGTAGGTATCCTCCTATCACATAACACCCCAATAGTAGCACTTCTCCATTTCAACTATCGGTTTTAATTCTACGAGTAACATCTTCATCTATCATTCCATTATCTTGAAACAACGATCATATATATATCTAACGTATTTGTATTTTGGCCTGCGATCTCGTTTAGTCTCACCTCAGTTTCGCTATGCTGACTAAACCTACGATGCACGTATTCAATCTTATTTCTACTTATCCTAAAACCTTTAATCTCTAAAGTGTTTCTCCATAGTTCATGTTTTTAGTTGACTCCCATGCCGATTTTGTCAATTAACAGAATACTCTCGGCAAATAGCATATACCATGGGACCTCATATTGTATTGTGTTAGTTACCACATCCATAAATAAGGTAAACACGTAGAGGTTCAATAATGATCCCTGTTGTAGACCCACATGAAAAACTTTTTTGTATCTTCTATTACTATTCACACACTAATGACTGCTCATTCATACATGTGCTTTATGACATTTATAAAGTTTCTGTCCCATTTTATATGAAAGTGTTACTCTTTGGGAGTCAAACAAATTTTCTTTGATTAAGATTTTCTCGGACTTTTGTTTTGAATCATTACCTATGTTGACTTGTAGTACTTTTCATGATGTAGTTTGCAAATATATAAATTTTATTTTAAAAAACCTAAAGAATTTATACCCAAATTCACATAAAAGATTAAGTGTTCTGACCCTCATACTCCGAACCCTTCACATAAATTAAGATGAGGGAGTATTTAATATGAGTTCTTTTTTTCTCTATTACCCACCTATGGACCTTTCATGGTACTCTACATATACTTTCTCTAGCTCAATGAACACCATGTATAGATCTTTCTTTCTTTCTATGATAAATTTTCATCAATCTTTTTCGCAAGAATATAGCATCGGTTATAGATGTACCAAGCATTAATCCAAGCTGGTTCTCTATTACACTTGCGTATTCTTACATTTACGCTCTATCACTCTTTCCTATAGCTTCATCATATGACTCGTGAGTTCATATTAAGATAGTTCGCACAACTTTGATATTTCCATTGTTCTTAAAATTTGGTATCAGCATATTCACTCGTCGGGCATCCTACCACTTTTTAGTATAGCATTGAATAGCTTGGTGAACCATTCTACTCCAACCTCTCCATGACACTTCTGAGCCTCTGTCAGGATACTATTTGAACCACAAGCTCTCCAATCCTCATATTTTTCATGGCATCCTTTACCTTTGTTTGTCTAATTCTACGAATGTAGCTAAAATTTCTATCGTGCACAGATGTGTAGAGATCTAAAATGCCATTGTCTTGATTCGAGTTGAACAACTGATCAATAGCCCAGTAACCTCATTATCTCCTGTCAACACTTTTTGAGAATCGTCTTTAATAAACTTCACTTGGTTTAAATCCCTTACCCTTTTTCTCTCTAAGTTGTGCTAGTTTTATAACATTTCTTTCTTCCCTTCTCGTGTCCCTAACTTTTGGTACAAGTCATCTAGAGCTCCCCTCGAGCTTTACTAATAGCCTTCCTAACTTCCTTCTTGTATCCTTCAAAGGCTTCCCTGTCTTCTACTTTTGGCAACTTCCAATAGCACTTTCTTTTAGCTTTAATAACTTGTTGTACCTCCTTATTTCACCGTCGAGATTCATGTGGTCGAGTCCTAGATCTTTTAACACACCGAACAATTCAGTTACTCCCTCTGTTTCAAAAAGATCGGCACTATTTCCTTATTAGTCTATTCCAAAAAGATTGACACATTTCCGTATTTCCTTAATATGAAGCATTTATAACTACACAAATGTTATGGAAGGTTTTAGACTACAAGTTTCAAAAGTTTTACAGCCATACAAATGCAATGACTTGTTTAAGACCGCATATCTCAAAAGTCTTCCATTTTTATTAAAGTTTGTGCCAAGTCAAACTAAGATAATTATTTTAAAACGGAGGGAGTACTTTTAAATGCACCCTAATAGTTCCTTCCATAGAATGTCTGCATCCTACTCTATGTCTTTAGCTCCCTTCTCTCGTAGTTTTTTTTAAAACGCTAATCAGTAAGCACCCTTTTATGCCCACCACCTAATTAGCAGTTGTTTGCTGGTCGTACTCTTTCTCCAAAAGCTTCCTCGTCTTCTGCTTTTAGTAACTCTTTGTATCTCCTCATTTCACCACCAGAATTCTTGTGCTTGACTCCTAGATCTTTAGACACACCTAACGATTCAGTTGCTACATTTTTAATGCAACCTGACATTTCCTTACACATGATGTCTACATCCCTTCTACATACCAAGCTCCCTTTTTGGGTAGTTTTCCTTAAACGCTAATTGTTAGCGACTTTTAATATCGACCACCTAATTTGTGGTTGTTTGCAAGTTGTCTTCTTCTTCTTTTTTTCGAGAATGATAACATTTTATAAATATAAATCAGCACAAAGTTTGTGCTGCTAAAAGTGACAGAATACATCCCCAAAAAGTAAAAGAATCCCCCACTACAAAAACTTACAAGGATTCTATGATGTCAAGTATGGAGTCACTATCATTTACCGGGCATTCTTTACACCAAAAAAGAAAAAGTACTAAACAGTTCATTTTGATTTTCTGAATGGAGTTGCTAACATCCTCAAAAGATCTGGAGTTCCTCTCGTTCCAGACTGACCACCAAATGCAGGCTGGGATCTTCTGCTACCATTTCTTCTGTCTGACTCCACCTGTCACACCAGCCCAACATCTCAAGAGGTCGGATGTATCTTTTGGCATGACCCAGTTCATTCTGACAATACTTAGAAACATGTGCCACAATTGAGAGGTAACAACAAAGTGAAGAAACAGGTGGGAGTTGTCTTCTGCTTCCCTTCCACAGAGATAGCATCTGGAGGTCAGTTGATATCCCCTTCTCTTAAGTTTTTCATCAGTCAAGCAAGCTTTTTTGGTCACCAACCATACAAAGCATAGCACCTTTGTGGGTGCATTTACCTTCCAAATTTGTTTCCAAGGCCAACTCCTATCAGAATGAGCATTTCCCATTAGGCTTTTGTAAGCAGAATTCACCGAGAAATAACTGGTGCTTGACCCCTTCCATACCAAAGAGTCCTCGCAATCTGAGAGGCCTTGCAGTTGGTCAATTTGGTTTATCAATGTAGCAACTCTATCCACTTCCCAATCATTCAGCAGTCTTCGAAAGTTCAAATTACAGCCTTGTTGTTCCCTTACTTCTTCCACCTTGGCATGAGGATTTGAAGCTAACAAGTTGTCTTCTTCTTCTTCACTCTGTTCTTAAGCTTTACATTTAAAATCACTAACCTATGTTAGGTTGTCAGCACTTCTCCTGGAATAATTTACCGTCCTTGCATGTAGTTCTATCACGTTTTCTTGGAAGGATAAAGTTTATTTGACTATGGTTACCCCACTTATATAAGTTATTAGGTGAAAATCTCTCTTTCTAAAGTATGTGCTAGCTATCACTAAATCATAAGCTAAAGCAAATATTAAGACATCCTTCCCTTCCTCATTCCTAGTCACCATAACCCAGTGTACTCGTTCAAAACTGTCGCTGTCTTCACCTACATGACCATTTAAATCTCTCCCTATAAAGATTTACTGTCTCCTGGAATCCCTTGAACCAAAGTGTCCATATCCTCCCAAAACTGAGCTATACCTTCTACATCTAATCATATTGTGAAGCATAGCCAATAATCCATTGATTGTCTCTTTTCGCCATACAATTTTTAGTGCAATAATCCTATCTCCAACTCATTTTACCTCTATAATCTTATCTATAACTCTCGGTTCTACAATAATTTCCACTCCATTCCTATTTTATCTGTCTCACAATACTGTAATTTATAAGTCATGTTACCTATCTCTATAGGCTTTTGCCCTATCCATTTAGTCTCCTATAAACATGCAATATCCACGCTCCTCCTTTTTAGGGTATCCATTCAAAGTGCCTAAGTTCCAGCTACCTACCCGAATCCAACTCTCTTAGACTAGCTCTTTAACCCTTGTTTGTCCATGATGTGAGAAGATTTTTCTTATTTTGCACCACATCGAGGCAGTAATAGGGTGGAACTAGCTACTTTACCCACACCCATCCATGATATGGGAACCCTTTCATATATTGCACCACATATGGGCGCTGATGTGGCGGAACTAACTTCTTTACCAAGACCTCTTCGTGGTGTGGGAATCCTTGCTCATACTTCCTCACACCTAGGCAACAATGTGATACATCCCCTTGCCCATTTTTCTATCACATTTGGGTGCCGATGTATGCATGCCTAGGTGAGTATATCCCAATGATATTTGTATTATGAGGATTCATTATAAATTGGCAAGTTTTAGGCTAGCTTTAAACATACCGCAACCCCATATGAGCAATATGGTTTATTCGGGTTGACCAGCAATATAAGCAAGCTCACATAAGCGAAGTTAAGGCAGAAGAAACTTTATTGCTAAATAATAAGGCCAGTACATAATGGTGCAGAACAAACCTTAAGAAAATCCTACATTGCATATTTCCATATTTAGGGATGGCAATGGGGCAATAGGGGTAGGCTTGAGGTAGAGAATCCCCCCTCCTTCTCATAAAGCATGCACCTCGTTGCCAAAACCCCATAATTATTTCTCAGAATTAGCTTTTTGAAGACACTCAAATCTCTATATCGAACCCCTTTGCCTCTTTATCAAAGATGTATCTGCCTTCGAGTTTTGACCTCGTTCTTAGTGTTGCGCACAAAACTCCTTTAAGCATCTCCAATTTCTCGGTAACGGCAACAGGCGCATGCATAAGAGACGCGATATTAGAAACAAGGTCTTGATCAATACTTCTGAACCATCTTAAATCCCTTGTCTAGGTAATATCCATATAAATGAAAAAAATTCAACGTTAGGTCATCACCACTAAGTTTTTATACATGGTATTTGCAGCTTTAGAGTATCATTTGATCTTTCCGAATTCTACTGCTTGGGTTCTTTCAATAAGAGTTCAAATTATTCATTTACTGTGCTTACTACGAAAAAGAAGGTAGCTAATGATATTAAGGAATTTAGTTTTTTTAGCCTTGAGAAGTATCTAAAAATAATAACAATAACACTTGAAAGGATTTTGAAACTCATGTTTGATAACCTAATCGCCTCAATATGCATTTGTGGGGCGAAAACTTCTTGTTTGATAGTTTATGAGTTGGTAGACACAAGACTAAACTGAGAATTGAACAGCCGAATTTGTTAGTACATTTATATTTTGAAAAAGCATACATATGATCAAGCATATATATATGACCCCTTAACCATATACAATGGTGGAGAAAACAACAACAACAACAACAACAACAAAAAACCCAGTGTAATTCCACAGGTGGGGTCTGGGGAGGGTAATGTGTACACAAACCTTACCCATACCTTGTTAAGGCAGAGACGGTGGAGAAAACAGATCAGGCAATATGTCTATAATGAGGTTTTTCATCCTTTTGAATGGCACCACATGTGAATTCTTTAGAGAGTCCGAGGGGTAAAGGGGAGATCTTTATCATATCGCAATGGGGCTTTCAAGCTTCAGTATAATCATATCTATTAGCATGTTTAGTAGGGAAAGAAAAGGAATGGCGGCCATATCATATCTATTGTTTGCAAATAATACTTCTAACCTATGCGAATCAATGGAGATCATTGCAGTACTTATTTAGTAGCATGTTTAAAGTTATGCTGAGGCTGCAAATACATACATAAGGCCAACTGGTACCCATTGGGGTTGCGCAAGAATCCATACTTTGACACTAACCATGAGCGAAATAGGAAGGTGGTCACAATATTGAGTATTGCTTACGTATTTGGTACTGCCTCTACGAAAGAAATTCAAGGACAAAGAACTCTAACATCATGTCATAGAAAAATTCTCAAAAAAAGGCTTAATAGTTGGAATAACTATATTTGCCTATGGGAGGAAAGTTGAAGTTCTTTTGTAAGTTACCCACATATTACGTGGCTATGTTTTGTGCCCCATCCACTATAGTTGATAGATTGGAGATAATTTTTAGTGAGAACTAAAAGACGAGAAGAAATCACATTTGGTATAGTGGAAAAAAAACCTTAATAGGCAAATAGAGTTTTGTATTTGCATGGATTTTTGTGCTCGACCCCCCAACCCCACAGGTTTTCATCTAGACATCTGAAACTGTAAAAAATCAATGTTTTAAACACCTCTGACTATATGTTCTCTTAGTTGCGTTGATGTGAATAAATGTCAATATCTACCTAAAACTACTCTGCGTATTTCTTAATCGCGTTGACGTGAATACACATCAATATCTACATCAGATAAAAACCAGGCCACATCACCATTTATTGTCAGAAAGCTACTTTAAAAAAAATTAAAATCCCAAATCCATCCCTGTTCTCTTTCTAACCACAAAGTTTTCCGAGCATCTTCTCCTTGAAAAATTCCTCCAGTAATCTTCTCCCCCATAAGAATCTAACTCACTCTGAAGCTCATTCCTAATAAAAGACTGACCGCCAACAAATTCCATACCTCCACTATTTTTCAGCATTGGTCATAGTTCAACACAATCACCATATCTGATATCTCCATCCAAAATCTTCACCAGCCCCTTCCTCTTCATTAAGACCACACGCCAACTACACCACAAACAACTGCATGCCATTCCCTCAAACTCAATAGAGCTGAATCCCACCTACATCCACGGGCTATAAAGATTAATTAGAAACATTCATGATCAGTGCCAAAAAAGCACTATCAACAGTCAAGGGTGTTTAACACACTGTTTTTGAACATTTAAGAAGTTTGGATGATAATCCATGGAGTTGGAGGGTTGGAACATAATATCGTGCAAGAATGGATGTCTATTTGCCTATTATACACAAAAAGAATGGCCCCTACTTTGGAGGGAGTTAGGATTTCAAGATTGCCCCCATTCAATATGTGACACTATGAAAATAATAGTGCAGATTTACTCTACACTTATATGGACTCAATATCTCATAGCAGTTGCTTCGTAGCTTAAAGCAATGAAGCGATGTGGAGCAAGGGATTGTCACTTCATAGGTGAAGCCATAAAGCTTCGTAAAAGTGTGGAATCAAATGATGACGTGCAAATTGATCCCAACAAAAAAGTGGTCAGTTCTTTGAATATCAATTTTGAGGAGTTGAACTAATATAATTATTGTATATTGGAATCTTTTTTGGATCAGCAGAGGAATTGCAATGTGATTATTACACTTTAAATCATGTGTTTGGTATTTTTAATGTTGTGAATTGTGCGATACACTTCAAAGAAGCGTGCGCTTCCCTTCCCGCCTTTCGCTTCAAGACACATGGATATTTGTCGTTTGTTTATGTTTTTCCCTTTAAAAATATTGTACAAAGCCACCTTTTATAAAGGAGGCAACAAGGAAGAACAATGAAGGCCACAATAGAAAAGTGAGTCGGAAATTGCATTGACATCAAATATATGAAAATATATAATTATAAAAAAGATATCATATGTGCTTCGAGCTGTGGAAAGTTTCCATTGGAAACAACCACTAATGCTTGCATTAGGGTAGACTGTCAACGTCACTTCCTTAGGGTGGGGTCCTTCCCCGAACTGCGTGAATGCGAGATGCTTTATGCACAGGGCTACCCTTCTTTATATTATCTATGATTCAATTTTAATTGTGCGACCATCTCATCTAAAAGCTTAAGCTGTTAGAGAGAGCACATTTTATTTATTTAAGTATGTTTTCAACACATTCCTACATGTGGGCTCGATCCTGAGACAAGCATGTGAATTTTGTTTGTTAACGGATGGCGGTGAGACTCGAACCAAAATCTCAACCTTGCTCTTATTCTAGTCTTGAAGTGTGTGACCATATCATTTAAAAGCTAAAGCTATTAGAGAGAGGCTGATTTTGTTTACCTAATTATGTCTTCAACCGGCCAACCTTGGGCGTAACTCAACCTCAAAGCTCGCTCATAAGGTGAGGATAGATCATATAAACAAACCCTCATATCTGATGTGGGAACTAAACAACCCCTCTCTCTTTGCATGCTAAGGCCTGCCAACTGGAGTGTGGATAATTGATAAGAGGGCCCAACATTGGTAAACCAAGAATTGGGATGGGCCTGCATTAATAACATGATAAAGAAATGGACTTTGGTCCTGACTAAACGTCAAAAGCTAGTTCATGAAGTAAGAATTGTCCAAGACCATATAAAGAGACCTTCCCATCCCTGAATAACTGATGTGTGAACTCAACAATTCAAAATGAAAATTGAAAAGACTGAAGCATGACAATAATCACGAAGCAATGAGGAGAACAAACGAACGTGACATACAAGAAATGTCAAGAAGGAAACAAAACTACAAACAGGAAGTCAACCCCAAATCGATGGGGTTTCACTCATTTTTTCCCTTTTTTTGGCTGTTTACTCATCTGGATGCATATATTGCATAGGCCAATCCTATAAGAGGAACAGTTACAAAAGTAGGACATCAACACCAAAGCATGCAGAGAACAACCATCATACGACATGCTACAACCCTCTCGTGTCCCGAGTTCAGGTCCATATCCCCAATCACCCTTTTTCATAGGCAGCAAGGGTTCAATCTCGATCATGAATGATAGTTTTAACATAAAGACAAATCTCCAAATTCTTCTGCCAGCAAGTGCAATTGCCTCCCAAAGCTCTAGGCTTAATCAGAAATAAAAACATGGTCTGGTCAGTTTATCCACAATGACCGAAGTGACATTACCCTAATGACCCAATGTATTTTTTTAATTTTGATACCCAGGAAATCCCGAGGGCCAGTGACACACGGTTAGTTAGAAACTTGGTGGATAATGGGCCTGCTCCTCTATTCTTCTCCACTTAATCACTAGGTTTTTTCTGCCATAAGTTTGACCTAACTTGTTACTACTTGCCCCATAAAATCAGCTGAGATTATTTTCCAGGCTTCACGAAAAGCAGCGATTAACTGATAAATATTAATGCAAAAACAACTGGGGGCTGACTACTAAATCGAAACAATCATCTTTTATCATAAAAATTGGAACTTGTACACTATATATTATGTACTCGTACATTTGATAATAGAAGACTAGTGAAGCGAAACAAAGAAACTGAAGACATGCAGCCATACAAGATAGTAAATACCCAAAAGTTATAGCACCAAAAAATCTACATAAATAAGATGCATATCTCTTAAAGAACGAACCTTTTTTATGATTTTCTTCGTCGGGTGGAGCTAATCCTTCACTATTTTCTTCTCCGTTTTTAATTTCTTTTTCAACCTCAATTTCTTCGTACTGTGATGCAATGAATACTGGAACTAAAGGAATTTGCAGTAAAGAAGGCGCATATTCGTCCACGTTAACAGAGGATTTAGGTATCGGGACTGAGTTGTTGATTAGTGGATCAGCCGCCACAACCGATGATAGCATTGAGGTCTAAGGATTGATTTCATAAATTGTTTTTTTTGCTGGAAAGGAGTAGTGATTTCATCAGACACCGAAAAATTCTGTTTGTTAAATTAGGGGTGGGCGTCCATCGGTCGTTTTTTTTTTTTTTTTTTTTTTTTTTTTTTTTGGGTGGTATGTTGCACCAATAATCAAAATGAAATTAGTTTTTTACTAGTGTTTTTAGTTTTTACCAATGATTTAAAGGGCTTTTTTTTAGACTCTTTTTGAGATTCGTTTCGAGGCTCGCCCTAGGGCAGAGCACTATGAAAACGCTTCGAGGCTCACGTACAAGGCTTAGTTCTGTGTAGGGGTGGGCATCGGTCGGTTCGGTTCGGTTTTGAACATTATCGGTTTTGCCTATCAGTTATCGGTTTACAAATATCATAACCTGATAACCAAACCGATAAGATATTGATTATCGGTTATCGGTTAATCGGTTATATATCGTTATCGGTTCGGTTATCGGTTTACCCGATAACATAAAACAACTAAAAAAATTTGCAATATATAAAACAAAGAAATCAAACTGCGAGAACGTGTAAACTGCCAACTTTTGTTGTTTCTTAACAAAAGCACGCTCCCACTTCTGTGCAGTATCTACTGATGTCTGGCGGAGAACTGGTGGTGAGTCTTGCGTCTTGACTCTTGGGGGCTGCGACGGAAACAAGAATGAGAACTGAGGGACAAACGACTGAAGACTGAAGAGTGAAGAGGGAATTAGGAAAATAAATAACCCTAGTATATACTTAAGGGTAAATTAGTAAATTATATCATTATTATTGGGTTATCGGTTTTTACCCAATAACAAAAATGCAAACCGAGCCCGAACCGATAACCCAATAAAAAAATTTTTAACCCGTTACCGAACCGTTAACCCAATAACCCAATACCGATAACCCAATAAAGAATTAACGGTTCAGGTTATCGGTTTTACCCGATATATGCCCACCCCTAGTTCTGTGAGACTTACGCCTCAAACGTCTGATTATGCGCCCAAAATACGTCTAACGCTCACCGCTTGAGACTCGCCTAGTAGTTCCTAACGCATGTCATGCATCAAATTTTTTAATTAGCACTATTGACACTCAAAAACTTTTAACAATAAATATGATATAACCACCATCCTTTTCTTATTCATCTATAGAAATATGAAGATTGAGAGCAACTCAAAATAATGGACATATAGTATATATTTACTAATTGAGAACATCGGAAATTGAATATCGTTTGATAGCTAAAATATATATCTTCACTTATAGGTATTCATATTTTNGAAAGTAACTTTATATTTATTCACGAGGAGTAATTTAAATTACAATATTGATGAAGTTTATTGATTATTAACTTTTAGACAGGTAAACTGTGTATTTTGTTAATATTTTTTAAATATTATGATATTTTTAATCATTTAAGATAAGACGCTAAAGTTGATTTTTATCTTATAGTAACTTTAACACTATTGCATTGTTTATATTTATAAAAGATGGTAGATATTTTCTTTTTTGTGTGTTTTTTTAACTTTTATTGATTTTATATATTTTTTGTAGTTATTATGCTATTAACTTATAAATTAAAAATTTATAGATCCATAGGCCTACGACTCACCCATATTAAGTAAAACGCTCTAGCCTTACGCGCTTTTTAAAATACTGAGTTTTACTAATTCGGTTTTCAGTTTGTTTGGGTCTGTTTTTGTATTGTCAAAACATTCAAAGATGTATCACATGCTTTCTGCTTTATGACGTCTTATATGCAAATAAAAATAAAGTAGAAGTATACTAAATTAGTAAATTTATATACTAACAAGGATAAATAATTAAAAGAAATTTTTGCCAAAGTTTGAAACTTACAGTTTAAAACTATGATCAGCATCATATCAAAGAGTTATCTTTGTGAAAATACTGTTTTTGGGATAAGTATAATCAAATCTTGAAGTCACTTTAAAGGATTGCTATTTAGGAATTAGTCAATGTATCCTGAATTTCAAGTTGTCACACCTCTTTTTTACCTACACCCCGATAAAGGGTAGTATATAAGAGAATTTTTCCAATTAAAGGACAATCGAAACGGGATTTATTATTAAAAGATTCAGAGTCGCCACTTGAGAGATTTATGGTGTCCCAAGTCACCGATTGAATCCCGAATCGAGGAAAAGATTGACTCTGTTTAACAGTCCGCGAACCATAAATCCGAGTAAGAAATTTTGTTAACATGCGAGAAGGTGTTAGGCATTCCCAAGTTTCGTGGTTCTAGCACGGTCACTCAACTGTTATATTCGGCTTAATTATCTGATTTTAAACAATTTTGAACCTATGTGCAAATTTTAGTTTCAACCGCTTTTATTCATTTTTAAAAGAAAATTACAACGTTATTAAAACACGTCTCGAACCTCGTCACATAAATGCACCCGTGGTTTTTGACACATTTTATCTAACGTTATTGAGATTTGGATTTGGGTCACATAAATGCGCACCCGAGTTTAAGAAGGTAATATTATTAAAGTGTGCGCCTAAAGCACCTAACGCGTTATTAACTTCGTGAGGGCCGTGGAAATTTGTTAAACGGCACGCCCCGAATTCTAGAATTAAAAGAAATGATCACACGAGGGCCAAGCATTTGTAATTTTGTTTGGCTTGGTGCGCCCCAATTTATTCTACTTGAAAGGTCTCTAAACTAATTAGAAATTCCCTACATAGCTTATGTTAATTTTAAAGCAAGTGGGGTTCAATTCAGCTCTTAAGCGAACTAATGCTTTAAAGAGCAAAAGCTGCCTCGTTTGGGCCCTGCACGAGCCCAACAGCGTGATAGGGCTATCCCAGCCTAAATTCTTGAGGCCACTTGCACTAGCCCAACTGATGAAGCTGGAATTTCAACTCGAGTGGACTTATGGTCCAAAATCCACCAAGAGGTCCAAATCATAGAGTAAGACGCCCACACACGCGAAAGGAAAAATAGGCTTGCTTGAAGCCCAAAAGAACAGATGCATCAATGTACCCCTTAGAGTTATTGAGCCATACGCTATAGTCCAATTTCGTGATCCAAATTATTCCCATCACAATCATAACCACAATGCTTCAAAATATTCCAGAAATGCTAAACTAGAATTGATTATCCTTAAGCATGATCAAAATGCATTTTGATGTCAAAACAAATTTGTAATGAAGGGTATTATCCTATGATGACTTATTTATTATCACCTTGTTACCCAAAAATTAATACTTTCCCTTAACTTTTAAACAAACAGTATTCCATGGTTTGGATTTCAGGCATAAACGAAACAATCTCTAACATGAATTCCAATTGAAAGATGGTACCTCATTCTATACTTGTTATTTCAGTAAGCTTAACAGTAATGAATACCAAAGCACAAACTAACTTCAAGTTTGACTGAAACAAATATAAACATGCATGAATTAATTATACCCTCTAACATCACAATTTTGAAAATCCAGATTCAAAACATGTTATATCAGATTCAGTACCAAAACTTCTTCATACCCCAGATCTTAATTCCAAACTACAGAAAAACAAACAAACTAAGATATTCAGGCAGTCAGTCCTTGTAAAATGTTTAACAGTCCATTTACATAGCCAAAATCCAAATGTTCTTTCTAAATGGCCAAAAAACAAACTTAAGTCATTGAGCATGGATGAACGACTTAACATATTCGAAAGAAAAGATGATGATCTACTTCATAACAGGGAAATTAAAGGTGTAAAACGGAAAAGCTAATAGAATTTTAACATTTAAACATGATTTCTATTCAAATTCCAGCTTAGATCTCCAACTTTATGTATAGATTCAGTTTGATTCTAACTTGTAGCACCTCATTTGTTAGCAAATGGTATGAGGAAATACCTGGGATAACAAAATAAGAGGAAAGCAGGGAATCAACAACAGCAAAACAGTGTCAAGCGGCAGACATCAGCTCAAACCAAGCTTGAATGCCCAAGTTTAAAACTCAAAACAACCCCAGGAGCTTAAAAAAACCTCATACGCTAATTGCAGGAATGCTTAAACCATTTTCAACTCAAATAAGCCAGAGATTTGATTCAGAACTTGGAAAACTTCAAAATCACCAAATAAAATTCAATGGAACAGTGTTTCGCTAAAGTTTTCAGTCACTTTTTTTGTATTTTTTGATTTTTTCTATTCACTCCTCTATGAAACAGTAAATTTGTGCAGTTTTCTATATTTTCTGGATTTTCAGCTCTTGGTTCTCTTAGCTCTTGGGTCTCTTAGCTCTTCAAGATCTCCCTTGAGCTCTAAGTAACAATGCTTTTATAGGCAAGCTACTAGGGCAGCCTTAAAGAGTTCAAAATTGCACTTAAAACCTTCTAAAATTTTCATTTTTGCTTAGGAGTCCTCAATGTACAATCTAGAAATTTAGAATAACCCCAACCCCAACTTTCTAGAAGCTTCCCTGGTCAGCTACACCTAGATTCTCTACCCCAATTTCTCCAAATTACCCTCTAAACTTCTGAAAATTACCTTTGGACTCAAATGGGTCATGGGTCTAATTTGACCCAATTTTTCTAAACCAAAGTGAGTCGGACTCTAACCCAAGCCCAACCTCACAAGATCAAGAGCCCAAACAGCCTCAATTGGCATTTGCCCTACTATCGAATTGCAACCCACAAGAGCACATACTGACAATTTGCGAGAAGTTAGCCTAAATGACTTACTAATCTATCATTAACCCAAACTAACCATTTTAGGTTAATTAGCTTACTACTTATTAAGAAAACGACACCATTTGCTCATGCATGTCTCAAAGAAATTCTGGGACAAAATGAAAAGAAGAGACGAAGAGAACAAAGCATGGGAAAAGAACACTGAAGGAAAGATTAAACCAAAAAACAAAAGGAAAGATACCTATTACAGTTCGGACCAAGAAGAGATAAGCGTGAATCTTCAAATCTTCGAGTTTCCAGTCAAATATGATATTAATCGCATGTTCTCGTAGAGAACAGACGAATAAAATCATATTAAACACGAATCATTTGCAGAATCTTGATTGGGGTTCTAGGGTTCGACTTT